GCGTCAGTTGCATTTCGTTATTCTCTCGGCACGGATGCGTTCGCCCCCATTTTTTCGAGAAATTTGTACGTTGCATCTAGATCAATATGCCGATTGATGCAGGCCTCATCTGAGTGCATTGCTTCCAGGAATTGACGGACTCTCCTTATTGGGCAGACGCAAGCAGTGCGTGTGTTCTCCCATGCAAATTTTTGGCCAGTGTTTAGTGTGTTCACAGCCACCTTGGATAACTGATGTTCATTTGTACGGGTTGAGACAAAGTTCCCAGCTTGACCACAACAGACGGCACCACGACTGGCACATGGAATCGTGAAAGCAAAACCTTTTCTATCGAGGTAGCCAACCCTGTCGTTAGGATGTAGAGGTGTGACAGTTCGCGTCTCCTTGCCCCCCGCCTTTGCCACGCTGCCTTCCTGTCCGCCCCACACTCTTTGTCGATACGCTGCTGGGACGCGCTAGGCTTGTCACTAGCCTCGCAAATGTTCCAGGTCAATCAATGCTGTCCCCTCTCTGATTGGCTGGAGGACGCGGAGACAACGGAAGGCGTACACACACGCTGGGTCTCAGCACCTCGAAGGCGGACACAGACAACGCAACCTGCCCGGAGAGGGCGCTCGCGGCGACTGCCTACAGAGCCTTTGTGTACGCACTTCGAAACCGCACTCAAACCGTCTTCCCTGACTTTTGATTGGGAATCTTTGTCTTGTCGACCACATCACTTTTGACAGAGGCTGTGTGCGTAAGGTGGTTGTAGTTTGGTGTACCACTTGTATCTGATGTTTTCTCAGCTGTATTTCGACGAGCTCAGATACGTTTATCACGTGTGGGAGAGTTCATCAAGTGGATGTTTTGGTGCCTTGGGTGGCTGTAGTGTGTGAACTGTTTGGAATCACTATGCTTCATGCACTGATGTCGAAAGTCACGCGCGTATCCTTTGTGGGAGAATAATTTGAAGAGCTATTTCATGTCTGCTTCATAGATTTCTTCATCATAGCACTTTGTTCTCGCTCGATTTAGCAGTCTGTAGACAGGACTCTTTTGTGCGAGAGGGACAGTTGCTCTCAGAATGTAGGGTGACTCCTGAATATGTTTGTTTGCGATGAGTGAAGCCTTATGTGTTCCATCACTTTTTCGACGTACGTGAACATCCAGAAATGGGAGTTGTCCTACAGTCCTCGTTTCAAAAGTGCAGTCGAAATTCGTGTGGAGCAGACGTAATTGGTTTCTCTTGACAGTGATAAATGTGTCCCAAACATAGCGCAGATATAGTTTTTGATTAGCTGTGGGAAAAGCTATAGGTTCCAGTTTCTGCATAACGGCTTCCGCTAATAAGGCAGATATAAGTGAGTCCATAGTAGCATCTCTCAATTACCGATAACACCGTTTGGCGAGAGAAAAGTGGGTTTCTAGATGAATATCCAGCAGTTGGAGCGAAGCGTCGGCAGACACATTAGTCGTGTAAGCCTAGAGAAGTTTTCCCATGTAGTTTCTCGCTAGATGCACATCAGAAAATCGCTCGAAAAAAACTGCAAGTCTCCTCCTGATCCATCCACCATCTCGGTTTTCTCAACTCCTAGCGAGCATCTTAATGTAGTAGGCCTGACGATGGTTAATCGACAAGTAGCCTCCTCCCGGGACAACCTTTACTTCTAATGAGACTTCACAGGACTGCGGCTATCATTATCTGGTTCTCGTTAATCCTGAGTTGATAGTCGTTTATGCTTGACTGATCCTGTCAACTGGTGATCCGCCATGTATCCAGTTATTCCGGGACAGAGAGACGAACAGTGGAGCAGCATGTTTATTTGACTGGGATTTTATACAGCCGGGCCCGCCGTCCATCGTTAAGGCGTGCGCTACGCAAAAGCCAGAGTGAGCTGCAGGTGCCTTTTCAGCCATAATATCTTCAATATTTTCCCCGTTTCCACCTCCTGGCTGCTTTGTAGTCACCTCTTCGGTGCGACAGAGCTGATGACTCGCTCCTATCGTCAGCCAGTTTTCTTTCAGAGACTGCGTTGGACACCGTGCGGTGGCATCCCCACCATACGAACGTTTTGCTAGCTCGTTTCTAGCCTAACTCAGGCTTGCTCCCGTTAAATCCGTCTTTCGTGGCGACGACGACGAAAGAGTGTCGCGCACGAGATCGCAGACGCAACGCTTCCCTGTCGTGGTACGAGGCTGTCTACTGGTTGCCTGCCTTGAGTGAACTTTTGGCCTGGGTAAATCTTGCTCGTGCCTCATTATAGGCCCTCAGACAACGTGGAATCGCCCGTTTTTACTGTTTGGGAAGCTTGGCTGTAACAGTCGGCTTTATATTACTATATCAGCAACACTGCCCCAATAAAACGCAACAATTTCGAACAAACGCTATTCTCTCTAGCATCT